CTTTCCAGGCAGAGTGAAAGCAAGAACAAACCAAATATTGTTTCCAGCCACCCAGACTATTTTGCCTCCATGAATATGCTTCTTTGTACAGTACCACAAACATTATGGCTGCATGAAATCCATTTTTAAAGCGAGAACTGTGCTTGCGCGGTGGTTCCTTCCTCGCATCTTTTGGAGACCAGAGTAAAGTCCGTCTTCATGCCCGTTCAAAGGTCTGGCCTGGAGACCATTTTCTGCTCAAGCCCGCGAGGGGAATATACCCAGTTGCTTTGCGTCTCTTTCCCCAAACCGGCCAAGGGGTCGGAGTGGGAAGCAAGCAGCCTTGCCTCCCTCAGGAGCGCTGCTCTGCGCAGATGTTACAAAACAAACCAAGGTCGAAGGCGTCCCAACGCGCCTGACCTGAGCTGCTTCTTGCGAACTGGCTAAAATTTGCCTTATCGGGTGACTGTTTAAATACTCTCCTCAGGCGAGAAGGTGGTGAGAAGGGGAAAGCAGAGGTAACTCCCGGATATCAAGCTCCAAATTGACGGGGCTCCCAATTCAGCCACACGCGAGAGTTCAATTATTAGGGATCAAACCAAAAGCGCCAGCCCAGGGGCATCCAGTGTTTTGATCCTTGCCGCGGCAAGAAAGACACCGCCCGTAAGGTTCACCCTTTGCGGGGGGAAGCGCAACGGCCCAGCCCAGCTGGGAAGGAGAGCCTGCAGTGGCGAAGCGCCCTTGCCAATTCGGAAGGTGCGAAGGGAGAGTCCTCCCCACTCCAGCAGCACTTCGCAGATACTAAAGGGCAGACGGGGCCATTACCACCCTCTTGTTGCCCTCCTCTCCGACACAGGCCAAGGAACTTTGCCCAGCGAGGAGGCTTGCCTCCGGCTCGCACGGCTGGTACCGAGGAAGGAGCTCGGGGCAGAGCAGCGCCGCGCCGGGAGGAGGGGGCTCGGCCGCGGGCCGGGGCCGCGCCGCGGGCTGCCAACGCCGCCAGCCGGGAGGCCTGAGCCGCGCTTGCGAGCTGGGGAAGCGAAAGCAGAAGCGGCGACTTTTCTGTGCAAGGAGCGGAGCGATAGAAAAGATGAGCGTGTTTGGATGCTGCTGCTGCAGGGCATGAGAAAAGCACTGGTGAATGACACCCCCCTCCCCAATTATTCTTGTACTGCACTTACACACACACTAAACCACAAACTGCCAGTGCAGGGAGGGGAGTGAAGACTGCTGTGGCAATGGTAATAATTAAAAATTTAGTATTCAGAGGTCATGTTGCTTTGCTTATAAGCCCTAATTCTTTCCATATCCCTACAGTCAGGATTCCAGTGCTGTCTTTTAAAATTTAATTTCCCAATTATATTACATGTTTCATTCTCTAAAGTTAAATACTTATGTTTAGATGAGATTAGCACCCTCTGATAGACTGCAAATTATTAAGTACTTGCAGATCAGTAAGTCCCATTATGGTATAAAAGATACAAATACATTATTAAGTGTGTAAAATAAAACAGTAAGGACCATAATTAATTTGTAATATTTATGATTTCCTACAGCTCTGTTGCGGTAAGGCCAATACAAGAAGTGTGTATGAGAGGAGAATGAGTAGTCCTGTCATGCGGTTATATAGGACCTTTTAACAGACAGATACCGTTACATATGTTCTATCTGATTGTGATGTAAATCAAGGTTACAACACTGAGAAGCTGAACTTTGCCGGTATGACTCAACATAAACTATTCTTGTTAAAACAGACCATTTTAAAATTCAAATCTTCCTCTTCTTCCTCCTTCTCTAACTTCTTAGCCCCGCCCCACCCCTCCCTTTTGCATTTTGAAAGGCATGAGTAGAAAGCCAGTGTGGCCTGAAGATGGTCATAGTCAGGCTCTTTTGTACCCCAGGGGTAGGACAGCAAATTTATTCCTCCTAGGACCGTCCATGAAACACCCCGATAGCAAACTCTTCTCAGATACAACACATAGAGATGGGTAATTTTTCTGCACAATGCAGAGAATAAGCTCTTAACCTAAAGCTTACGTACATGATGCATTTGAGGAAGAGGATTTATAGCAGACGTTGATCTCAGTTTTGCTTTTCTTCTGCATAATAGAGCTACTGTACCAGTACTCAGTCAGGATTCCACCAATTTTATTTTAATGAATAATTAAAATCAAAAATTCCTCCCTCCCACAAGATAGGCAAATACATTTTTGCAGAGAAGGAATAGCATGCTTGGAAAAAAAAAAAAAAAAGACCTGGGAGGAGAGAAGGGATTGGAACTCAGAACCTCCTACTTTTTAATATTCTTGTTCATACTGCTTGGGAAGTCCTCAAAGAACAGTGTGGGGAACAGGAAACAAAAGGTAGGAGCTGTCTAAAACTGAATCATGCATGGTCCTTACAGAGCACTTTCATCCACGCTTTAAAGTTGGAGATACTGAGGCAAGGAGAGTTGAAGTGTCTTGCACAGGAACCCCAAGTCCACCCTGGCAGAGCTTGGATCAGTTTCCAAATTTCCTGACTACCTTCCTAGATCACTAGCATCACCTCTTCTACGTATAAGCCAGTTAACAGCCGGAATCACTCTGTGGGCACTTGGTGCATTGGAGTCAGCAGAAGCTTTGTCACCAAAGTTTGGTCTAACCTGTTTGTTTAAGGCTCTGATATTCATGAATGTAAGCATGTTCTTACTTTCACAAACAACTCCACTAAATTGAATGAACTTCCCAGGTACCTTTTTGCACCACTGGGCCCAAACTGCCTGACTTAAACTTTTTAAAGCCTTTGGGAGATATTTCCTTTGTCTTCAAAGGATTTTGGATCAGTTCCTAAGAGACTTCTGTCAAAATCCTGTTGATTTTTTAAAGCACAGGAACAAGTCATTTCCCCAATGACATTGGTGTGAATGAAGCTTTACAGACAAAATACCAGAAGACAAGGTCCTTGCCCAAAATAATGGCCGTTGAGGATGAAGGGTTGTAATAAAAGGCAGAGAGTTCAGCATCATGCAGCTCTCTTATCTCTCCACCACTGAAACACTGGATATAAGTCTAGCCTTAGAATTTCTTCTTAGTTGATAAAACATAGGTTTATGTAAAGAAAACTTTGTCCAAGCGCTTTGTCTGCAGGATTCTACTTAAAGAGAAGGCTGTTCCGATGCAGTTATGGCTTGACGCATTCAATTCTTTTTGTGAATGATGAATTATTTAGGCCTGGGTCTTGCTTACACTTAATTCAAAAGGCATTTTTCTACTAACTGCAATGGCAGCTGGATTTAGCCTCACAACAAAAGGCAATGATACCATAATATAGGATGTCAGAGGGCCTTCATCTTTTCATTCTAAACAGAACACATATAAGATCATTTCCCATATATAAGGACACCAAAGGAAAATTAATGCTAAAGCTGGGCACAGACTGCATAACACATTTCTTTACTTGAACTTCTTGTGAATTCGCTTTCATGATATTTGCGTTTCATTTGGTTTCCACTAAGTTTCTGTTCTTCCAGAATCTGGTTCAAAACTATCTGAATTTAATAAACGAAATCTAATCACCAGCATTCCCTGAAACGCTGAGCTATGAGTATGTTTTGGGGGATATTAACTGAACATGGAATCTTGACAATTTCCAGTAGAATTTACTTGAAAAACTTGGTCCCGAGGACTGCGCTAGTTCACCCAATCAGGGAATACAAGTAAAGCCACATGACCTGGGACTCATCCCACGAAGCTTGCATTTCAAGTACTAATACTCCTGACAAACTGTCTGCAAAATGAGCTGCAGCTTAGGGATTATATACAGGAATCATTCAGTGAATCATTTCCAATAATGTGTATGTAACACGAACATCACAATCGGCTCATGGATCATTGACTGAGGGAAAAAGAGAGAGAGACAAAATTCCTGTAATAAATTATTCATTACAAATTATCCACCCAGCTCTAGTTAACACCCTTCTGTGTTTCTTCAGCCTGGGAGAGAAGAGGCTTGTGTTTTAGATTTTCCCTAAGTGCTGTTGCATGCAGGGTTTGCCTTAAACGTGTAACCCAGATGTCTCAGGCTTGGTTTATTTACATTCTTGGGAACTGTTGTGGAAAAAAAAACTATATGATGTCAAATATAATATAGTACTCAATTGAGCTATAAAGGGACAAGGCTGTGCCAACCCTTCTTTGGAATTTGTTTTAATCTTATGGAAAAAGAAAGAGGCAGAAGTGGCCCATCGAAAGACATTGTAAGATTCATTTTTTGCTTAATAAAAAGAAACACAAGCAACTATTCAGAGTACAAGATATAGTAGTACCTGGCATTAGCCATTACCAGTAAGGTTTTTTAAAGTCAGTTTACCTATTGAGTTGTACGGAAGAATTGTTCAAGGTAAACTGTAAGTAACACTGTGAAACAAATCCCAATATTATATACCATAGCCTGATGTGACAAGCAACTGAAAGAGATGTTTTGGTTCAATTCATTACAATTTTTTTTTTTTTGGCGTTAAACCCATTTTGAAATGTACCTGTCAAAAACAGAACTATACACATCATCTTGCATATTGAATCCAGTGGTTGGCTCAGCACAGAAGGAGGGGGATATTAAATGAAATTTAGCTTTGGTTCAAGACTAAACAGTATCTAGGAAATCAGAAAATTGGAAACCAATTTAGGAAACCACTATGATATAATAGTGGTAGCACACCACCACTATCATATTGGTTTCAGCATAATAAACCACTACCATAATATAATTCAGGACACTCACTATAATGCTAGTTACATTATAACCTACCAAACCAAGCATCAATGTATTATAAAAGACAAGACCACTCTAACATACTGTTGGTCCCTAATGATTCAACTTTTGACTCAGCCCAGAACTATACCTGAGATATTTCAGACTCTAACCCAACTCCCCTTGAAGGTAAAGGACATTCTTCTGCTAACTTCAGTGAGAATGGGAACGAGATTTTCAACTAATACACATGACTGTGAATTTTGGAGGATTGAAATTTTTGACATTACCTGTTTAAAGATGCTGTCATGTCTTACCTTGACGTAAGACGAAGTGTCTGGTACAGTCTGAAACATCCTTACTTGTTCAATAGAGATCTTTAAAGGTCCTAAAATTGACCTGAAATTAAAAAAAAATCATATATGTATATACACAAAAGTGAAAAAACAAAGCATTGTTTAAAAAAACAAGGTTAGTGATAAAGCTTAATGAGAAGCGATCAAGCATCTGAGTGTACCCTTTAAAGAAATAACACAGAAAAACGTTCCCCACAATAACTAAATGTCAAGTGATAGACAGGACTTCATAATCAGGGTTTTATTTCTATGTTTTAACAACAGTTTGTTTTTGTTTTTGGGGTCCTCCCCTAGGAAAGAACCTTCTTCACTTTTGACCAGACCAGAGGGAAATGTTTGACATGTGATTAACTGAATTTCTTAGCCAACAATTAAAAGCCAGCAGAAATACTCATGTTTTCATGTCGAGACTAGTTAACCCTATTGACTTTATATCTAAGGGTTTCACTTGGCTGAATGAAGGGCAGTTGCCTTTCGTGACTCATTGAAACCATTCCAAGCCATTAGCCTGCCGGCCTTTATTGATTTAAAGAACCTTTCTCACTAATGATAATTAAACAATAAATTTAAAAAATAGCGAAAGGAAGTATCATTCCAAATAGCAATAAAAAATTCAGAGTTATCAATCTGAGTCCTTTCTGTTTTGGATAGTGCCGTAGCTTTGTCAAACGTAGCTGTGCTTTATCTTAGGCTTGCATCAATGCAGTGCATCTGTTTTCCTGTAGTTATAAGACTCGATGATCTCCCGATGAGCAGGTTTTTTGTGTGCTCCCCCACCCCCGACATGACTGCAAATATTAACAATGGTCGTGAAAAATGTAATGGTGTGTGGGAAAATAAATTTGTAGTCACCACAATATCTGGCACCTTGTTTCTCTATCCGCTTTGCTCAGGATCTTTAGTCCCTCGGAAAGCGCTAACGATTAGCTAACTATAATTACTCCATCGTTAAAACGCGTGAGCCCCCGTCTTAGCATGCAGCTCGTATTTGCAGCTGTTCCGATGCTCCAGTTTTCCCGGGGTAGGAGGGAAGAGTCAGAATTTTATCCAGAACTTGGAGCGGGAAGAAAATGCAATTTAAAAATTATATTACAAAATTAGAAATATGCATAAAGAGTCGCGCACAAGTGGGCAATAGTTGCAATAGTTTTTTGTTCTTTTTTTTTTTTTTTAAAGCTCTTCAGGAAAAGCTGTGGGGTCCTAACCTTGCAGCTAATTCAGTCTATCCATGCATAATACAACACAGACATGCTGGTTAATCATGAAATATCCTCGTTTGGTTAATGAAGAAGTCCAAAGTGCGATGGAGCTGTCTGTCCCCTGCTCTCTCTAGCTGCCACCCCAGCCGCCCTCGCAAGCCCCCGCGGGGAGCACCCTTCCTCGCCCACAGCCTTTCCCAGCGCTCTGCAGCGGCAGGGAAACACCTCTGTGCCTGCAAAGCCAGGGCGACGGGGCTACTCTGAAACATCTGCTGATTTAAAAAAAAAAAATACAGAGAGAGAAAAAGAAAAGAAAGAAAACCCAACAACTCTGGAAAATAAAGTAAGAGTTCTCTATCTGCACGTAACCCCCTTTTATTGATTTTTAAAGCATTTATTACGCGGCCAGCTGGCACAGAAGGGCAACTGATTATAAAATCGACAATGTGTTTCTGATAAGTACAATTCCTTTTTCTGTCGTCCTCCCTCCTAACGCATTCCAGTTTCTTTTGCTTCTGAACTTGCAACGGGGGGTGGGGGTAGACAGAGTTGAGGGACAAGGTAATTTTCCTTAGCCAGTAAATTTTCTGGGGTCAAGGATTCACATATCAATTTACCCTGCTCCCCTCTTTGCCCCTGATTATCCCCCCTCCACTTACCTCCCCTATATAATTACACATGTCCGTATAAATAAATACATCTGCATATTTGGAGTCAGTCTTAAAAAGTCTGCTGTGGATTATTTATCAATCATATTACCCTGCCAGCATCAGTCCAAACATAAAAGGGCCTCTTAAACTGCTTTTAGATTCACCTCTCGCTTATTCTTGCTATTATTACTATTATTTAAATGACTCACCTTTTACACCCTTTCCCCTCAACCAGTGGAAGACCAGTTTGTAAAGATCCAGATTGAGACCAAAAATAAAATTCCCCACCAGTTCTGGATTACTACCCTGCCGCTGCAGTTTTGCAAAGGAGAGATTAAACTTGTTAGATCCAAAGCAGCGCTGAAGTTAAAATTCCCAGCCCATCCAGACAGGCTGCATCAACCAGGCATTTCCTCAGGGGGCTTCTGTAATGCTCGCAGCTCGAGTACGTGCTTTTCTTTCCCTCTCTTCTATGCTCTCTACTTTTCATTTGATTTCCGTTTTCCCCTTATCAATATTTCGGCTGCGCCCTCAGATTAATCATTATGTGACATCTTCGCTCGAAGAGCCTGCCTTACGATACTTGCGACTTTAAAGAACAACAACAAAAAAAAATTCACAACTTTCTTAAAAAAATATCACTGAGGAGTCAAGCCGAAAAGAGACGCTGAGTGGAGCTCAAGTGCTACTTTAAATCCCCTTTTTAAATAAGGAAGTTTCAAATATCCGTTTTTAAATCATCGTTCCTTACTTTGAGCTTTTTTTTTTTTTCTGACTCTTACCTTGAAAATAGTTAACCCATTTCCCCCTGAAGCAGATCTGAAAATACTACACACCACACTCACCGAGTTTTGCAGATGCAGACGGCTAGAAAAGCGAGATGAAATAGTCTCAAAACTATTCTCTCTGTTGGACCAAGAATTTAGCCATTCTCTCTGCAAGCCAAAACCTCCAGATCGTTTTAGCTATTTAATAATACCCTACTAGATAGTAACACATTTAGGGAGGGGAAAAAAAAACATCTTCAATTCAGGGATAATTTCTTCCAACGGGATCACATTTCTGGTGTGTACTGTTATCTCAGAAGGGTTAGCAGATATAATATTTCGCACTAACCTGGGGAAAGAAACGCACAGGGATTTTAGTAAGACATCAATTCTAAATGTAACCCTCATAAGGGTTACCAAAACTATTTGGAAAATGTCCTTCCACTCTCTATTCTGTTTCTCTCTTTCCCGGCTTTGCCCCAAATTCCAACATATTGAAACATTTTTCTCCTTAATAAGAGGAACATATAAAGTGAAGGGGTGAAAGGGCAACTTGGGAGCCGTGCCTAGAGCTCCGAACACAATTTACTCGCTGGTAGACGAGGCGTTTAGCATTCCTCCCAATTTCCAAGGAAAACAGACTCAGACCTGTACCTAGTGACCAGAGACCTCGCCAGAGCCACTTTTTAATATAGAAATTCTTCGGATTCCTTGTTATTATTGTTGTTAAGAGAGAGTTTCCTAGACCAGGTAAGCGTCAGGGTTTTTAAGAGGAAGATCTCAGGAAGATAACTTCCGATGGAAGGAAAATGAGAGTTCAAAGCGACAGGAGGAACTTGCGAGGTGCTCAGGAGAGAAGGCTCTCCCTTTCGGGGATCGAAAATACCGGCTGAAGAAAACCCAGCGTTTTCATTTTTAAAGGGCTTTAAAAAATCGCATGCATCAAAGTTAAAGCTGCTGTTTCCAAGCCTTAATCTCATTATTCTGTGGGGACGTGAATACCTCTTTCTGCACACACACACAACCGAGCTAACTAGCGAATGAATCAGATCACATTTCAAAGTCATTTCTCATTCTTTTCTCACGTTTCCACGTGTGAATTACACAAAACACGTAGCTGAAGAGGAACCCCGAGGGCTTACTATTTTGTTAACAAAACCTTCTCCCTATTATTTTTGTTGAGAGGGTGCTAACAAACATTTGCATCTCTTACCGTACGTTTTCCTGTCAGTTTCCTTTTATTTTTAAGCAAACGTACCCAAAATCGCAGCCTAGTTCCGTCAGAGATATATACAGGGCACTATTGAGCGCACACACCTAATAAGTTGCAATGAAATAAACTTTAAAGGCTGGTGTTAACAAAAAGCTAGGACATAAAGAACTTAGAAGTTCAGGGAAAATACTTCCCCTGAATCCAGAGCTGTGTTCACTACCTCTTGTAATCAAACCCCACAGTTGAGTCGAGAAACCCATGTGGCTAGTTGCAGTCATCTTGGGAGCTTTACTAGCCCAAAAGAAAATTGCTGGCAAATTGGAAACAGCTGCAGCATTGAAGAAGGAGGGGGGATTTTCCCCCCCAGCCCCTAAGCAGAGAAAGTTACAGAAGTTTTGTTTACACAAATAGCTTCAATGCAGACATGACATTTCAAGTTTTCATCAACAAACTGTAGGTGACTTGAATGTAAGCAACATTTCAACATCCATCATTGGCAGTGATTTTTTAAAGATGCCTATGAAATCTCTCCCTCTCACACATGCACACTTCCAGTTCACTTTTGTGGCAGCTGCTCTCGCCTGTTCCTATGCCCCCTTTAACAGGGTGCTAGCAACACAAACAGTGACTTAAAACCCACAAAGAATTTTATCCAAGGGGGGGAACCTGACAAGTGCTCAATTCTCATAAGCCTGTTGGACAATTGCTAGAACAAATGAAACGGTGGAAAAGCTCAGAGTCCTGCAAAATGTGCTCTTTTCATGTTTTCTATTTATTAGATACGTTAAGAGAAAACAGACTCATATGAGTCCCAAATGTAGGCAGAGTATTAAAAGAGGCATGTGTAGCTCCAGCAATTACAGCTGAATTTGATTAAAAACGTCATGAGGACTGCAAAAGCAGGAGTTACCTGATACACTAACCCTGAGGTTGCTTTAGGATGAATTATAACACAATTCATTTTATTTTAATAGGTCACTATAAGATTAACTGTTTAAGGATGGAGCTATGCTATAAATGTTTACATCAAACCAGAAATAAGCAAGCTTTACTTTCTGGTTGTTTAGAAATAATGTTTATTACATTTTAAAATTCCTCAACATGTTAATTAGAAATAGGGGGAAAGTATGTGAAGTCAAAAGGAGTTCCAGTACTGGACATGTAACCACACACACACTTCTGTGCTTCAGTTTCTCTTTCCTAAGAGGAAAATGTAGTGACTTTTAACTGGCCATCATCCTTTCCACATGCTATGGGAAAACAATGACAACAACTTTTTTTCCTTCTTTCTCTCAAGGTCTCGGTCCAAAATTTGAAGGTACTTAGTAGCCTGGGCCCAAGGCATCAAAAAGATAAGTCCAAGCCTGGGGTGATAATTCTGTCCCAGTAGCACAGTGGAAATCAGTCACTACAACAGCCAAGTTTGTGTGTCCGGGAGGGAGAGAGCTGGAAGACCTATGTGTGATTGCGGGACAAAATCACACAGGCGTGAAGGACTTCAACATACCTTACCACTTTCTGTTCCCAAAGCAGGGACTGTGTCTTTGAACTTGCTAGTACAAACATACCACACAGATAGGTCCAAGAGACTGAATAAAAATAGCCTCATAAACTTCTCCCTCAAAAAAGAAAGGGAGAAACACAGAACTACCATGGAGAGATGTTCATCTGATTTTTCATCTGGTGTACTGCTGGGGAATTTCTGGATAAGACATATATATAACACACACACACATATATATATATGTGTGTGCATGTGTGTGTATGTGCGCGCGCATGTGTTTATATATGTATATTTTTTTTGGTGCTATCTTTAAGCATCATCTAATATAATATGTACTTGTGCATGACTGGAAATCTAAGAAGCAATTGACTTTAATTATCATTAGTCATAATAGTACCATATTGTTGAAATTAAAATATTAATTCCACAGGAAATTCCTACCTGTTGAAATGTATTTTCATTTGGAACCCAAGAGAAGGGCAACTTTAGAATTTTAGCACAAAAAGAAACCTCTGTAATATTTTCTTTGAGGAAAACTGAAGTGATCATCTCAGAAAGTTTCGTTTAGAGAAATCAGAAAGGCCCATTTCAATGAAGATAGGATGTTTCAATTTCACTAGTCAATATAACTAAAAGCACTTTGAGAAATTCAACTGAAAATCGGCAATATTGATATAGATATTTTTGGTAAAAATGCTTCAGCTTTGTTAAATCGCCATCTGCCAATGAAAAACATCTTTGAAATAAGATATTTTTCACTCAGCTCTAGTATTAATGATGAATATGCTTATTATAGTAAAATAAATGATCATAAATTATTGATAAATAATTATCACAACAGAAGAAAAGTTTTAGTAACGGAGATGAAATGAGGGGATAGGCTAAAAAAGTGAATTGTCATCCCATAATTGCTAGATTCTATACTGTTGTTAAAAAAGGAATGTTAGATGAAAGTTCATATTATCTCCTAGGCAGTAAAGATTCAGCTTAATTGGAACAAGAATCTCTCACTTTTGCTGAACTGTCTGGGTTTGAGGTTGTGGTGCTGTTCACTGCGTTCGTCTTCACTGATGTTCACTGAGAAGTTAGAAAAGGTGTGTTTTTTGTTTTTCCAAGCCATGACCATTTACAAAACACCTCTGCTTTGCCCCCGTTGTTTACAAATATTTCGAGGAAAATATTTTTTCTGTGTGTAGGGCGTTATGTAACTGTCCCGCTCCACCAGTCTTGGGTCTGCGACTGGGCTCGACAAGTTACTCCGGCCAGGTGGACTCTTTTCTCGTTATTTTTACGGCCAGACCTCGGAGATGCTCTCCCGCAGGTTGGGGGAGGCCCAGAACCCCCCTCCGGCGGGGCCTACCTGCGCGCCGCGGCCTGCCGCCGACGGGGCTCTCCGGGGAGGGCGACGCCGCCCGAGTGCGATCCCTAACCGCGCCGACCGGGGGGCCCCTTTCGAGGCAGGGACGCCTCCGGCGCGCCGA